AGATAGATAGATAGATAGATAGATAGATAGATAGATAGATAGATAGACAAAAAAGCTTTTATATACAGTTGTTTGATGAGATTGTATATACATATATATATATTTGTTTGATAATTAAAACAGGTAACTAACTGGAGTTTCTTGTGAGTGTTGATATCACATGGATGCCATGTTTTCTTGTTAAAATATCAGCTTCATCTTATCATGATCCCTTGCACAGTCTGTTTGGTAGACTGTAAAAGCTTCATTCCCTTCTAAAGTTAAACTGGTTTACTCTGTTGAGCACGCCTTAAACCCTGCAGAGTTAGGTTGGATAGACTTAAGCCTTCTTTGGCTTTAAAGGATAGATGAAATAGATGAATTGACAGATTTTATTGCCTGATAAAATAATGGAGCACCGCATTTCAAGGGAATTCTTTCTCTCTCTTTATATTAGCTCGTTAATACCCACCATTACTGTGAATATCCAAATCAATTAATGTGGTGAAATTAAGGACAGAATAAAATGATACAGAGACCCTTTAGATGCACTTCTTTGTCTTTGCCACCAGGTGGCAAGCTTGTCCATAACGTCAGGCGACGTCTCCCTTCTCACATTTTCCAGCGCAATTCTTTCCCCGCATCATTTACAGCCTCAAATTCTTACTTCAGTTGAACAGTTTATCAGTCTTAGATCAGTCTTTCAAATGTGCATTTTAACTTTGTAGGTTGAGCTTCTGATTGATTATGCTAAATGGTTACAGTCATTTGTATTTCCTCTGTAATACAACATTAATTTAGAACTCCTAACTTCATATATAGAAAATGTTGTACATGTATCTATGGTGAGTTGAAAGTTCAGCATTTCAGGTACATCATGAGGGGAAAATACTGATGAAAAGCTAATATTTGACCAAGATGATATTACCTGGAATGTCTTGTAACAGTTCAGATGCAGTAATATAGTATTTATAGAGAGTGGGTTGGATCCTTTGAGAAATATAGACCTTCCCTTTACTTTTAAAGTATTACCAAGCTCGTATGAGTGTTTGAGAGTATATAAAAATGTATCACTGCGAAAAGAAGATACAGAGTCCAGTTCAGAAATAGTCTAGGTGTCGAGGGTCTTTGGACTGCTGCTGATTGATATATTAATATTACATTGATCTTTTCATCTTGAAACCTGGGGTTTGTTTATTGGGTCTGCTGAGTTTTTCTTTCACTATCCTTTCTACCGATGCATTTTTGCTTTTAATTCCAGCATAGAAACTGAAATATTGTGTGCTCAGTCTCAGGGTGTATGGTACATAAAGAATGAGATTGAATTACATTGAGTAGAAACTCCCACATAGTGCTCCTATATAGATTGTTTTTCACTTGGGGTTAAAAGGCACCAGGCAAGGATGCTACACATTAGACAATTTATCTGCAACAACAAATACCTTCCCTTGAGAAGCAAACAGGTCTCTGAAACACCACAGGATGCAAAACCAAAAGGCTGTTCGCTTAAAGTATCATTACTGAGGGCAATAGTTTTTTCCTTCAATTTATTTGGGCTCTTAATAACAGGCTATCAGATTCCTATCTCCCTTTTCCTGCTCTTTACCCTCCTTTGCTCCCTGCTGTAGCCTCGAGGACTGTTTTGGCGAGCATCTGGAGGCAGGCTGTTGAATAGGCTTCATTCTTGTAGGGTCCAGCAAGCGTACTTGGGGTATGGATGCTTGGCCACAGTCTGCAGAGGAGGCAGGGCCGGCAGTGGGGGCAGGGAGGAGGGAGAAACAAAAGGGAGCCTGCAAAAGCACTGCAACCTACTCTAGTTTGGAGTTTTCTCTTGATATTTGGGTTAGATGAGGTTGAATAATTGATTTCAATGCACCCCTTTGAAATGTAGGTATTTCCCACAGCCCATCGTCTTTCTCTTCCCCTCTGTGGTTCCATCACCAGCACTATTCAGACTTTTCAAATGTATCTACATTAATATATATTCATTTCTGTTAAAATGATGGGAAAGAGCCAATGTGGCATTGGTTGCAGAGTAGGACTGGTCATCCTGCCCATGCAAAAGAGAAGGCAAATTAGTATTTTTAGATTTTCACCAAGATATTTTGTAGCTTGTTCTGTAATTTTAATCAGTTTTGCATGCATGCTCAGAAAAGAAAGGGCAATGCTTTGCTCTCCTGGTTGTCTTCTTGGCAGGATAATGGAGAAACAATGTACAAATGAGCACTATTATAACATGAATGTGACCTGGATTATATTGCAAAGGTGTGTAATATAATTGTTGACCATAGTGTGTTTTTGTAAATATTTATTTTTCATTTTCGGTTTTGTAGGGTGTTGGTTTGAAGTGAGTATTTTTTCTCTGGTGTCCCAGTCCTAACACTAGTCCAACTGAGCTGCAGCAGAAAAGGTATAAAACCATTCTGCTGCCCTCAATTGAGTTTGATGGTGAGGGTTTTGGTGGGTAAGGGTGGGAATGAAGACAGACAGCTCATCACTTGATTTTAAGTTTACAATATTTTTTTTCAACGGTCATTGACTTGCATTAAACTGTCTCATTTTTAGTTATTTTTTTTGACCACATTATGCTCTACAGAGTGAATGCAGAGTTGCTTTTAAGAGGTGGAGTTTGTGTAATAGTCAGCTCTGGTGACTGGGGGTGTGGAGCAGCTGAGGAAATCCATTTTCTATTTTGGAGAATGCTTGACATATGGGGTCTCTAACTCTTGTCTCATAACTTTCCTGTAAGAAGAGAGAAAATGTCATTTCAAAGCAGTTTAAGTGCTCATGAAAAGATTTACAGTGAATTCAAGAGTTGTCATTTAGTTTTCATTGTGTGGAATGTGAGGCTTTTAGAATTTTGACATGTCAAGAAAATACCTGGGAGAGATTTATTTAAAAGTTCAATCTACTTCGCTAAAATGTTCCTGTTGTATGGCCATGACTGCCATGCTGCTGGTGTCCTTCCTCCATGCTGGTTTGGATGTTGGATCAATGTGTTTGCGTCTGTTTGGTTAGACTGGCTCAGATCAGAGCTAATCTGTAAACGGTAATGGGATTCTACAGGTCTACTAGAGAGGGGTGATAATGAAATGAGGGGGCACTGCTGCTACGTTGTGCTTTTCAACTGACAACCATTTGTATCTGAGTGTCTCAAACCATCTTTGTGCTTTTTGTTTTTTCACACGTGTGTGAATGTGTGAATAGCATTACTACTTTTGATACCCTTGTGGATGGAGTGCTTTCAGAGCCGTACCACTCCTGCTGACAGAATACCTCTGAGTTAGTGTTTGCAAATTGTCTTTATGTCTGTGGGTTTTTAACTCTTTCACACTGACATATAAAACCTCAGGATGTTACAGCAGGGAAGGTGTAACTATCTTCCTTCTCTGCTAATAGTACTTATCTCTGGAGGCAGTGGAATAGGGTAATACTGCTGCTGCAGCTGTCAAAACACTCCCTTCCCTGTCTGTTTACTTGATGCTTTTATAGGGAACGGAGCTTAGCAGGGTTGTCGGCTATCATAATGTAGTGCAATTTGTTCTTGACTCTTAAAACAGGCAGGGACCATTCAAGCAAGCTAAAATATGCACTTCATCTTATGTTTATTACATATATTTGATATCCTGCTAAATCCTTTCAAATTGTCTGTTGCTTATCCTTCAAATCACTTTGTGCATTTTTTGCAAATTTAAAAAATAATCATATCAGTGCATAAACCCCCGAATATATCCCATTGTGGTTTGTTTTGGAGAAATGGCAGATTAGTCATGAATCCGCCCAAGTCGATTATTCACTCATCTCTAAAGCTCATGCGTTGAGAGTTTCTCATAATTGTCGTTCATGGTCTGGGGACAGGAGAGCCCAGCTTCCCCATGGACAGGAGAATGGAACCATTCTGTTACTACCGTGCCATCCGTGTCAGCTTATTAAATGTGTGGTCGACCCCGGATTTTCCCATGTATGCCCTTTCTCATTGTATTCTGTCTGATTGATGTAGACTGAGGTCACCTAAGCCGACGCAGGGGATCTGGGCACAGTGTGCAGGGTGCTAAATGTTTACATGCATTCATTTGACTTTATTCAGAGGCCTGCTGGCCCAATCTGGGAAAGCCCATATGTTGTTCTTTTCTGCACCCCTGGACTGAAGGTCATACTACCAGATTATGGTGACTAGTTTTGAAGAATAAATAATCTTTGGGGGTGGATCCTCACCTTGTGTTTTGGCTTTGAGCTGTCAGCCATGACACTTGACATCACTCCTAACATGAGTGGAGCTGAACTTGAATTTCCTTTCTTGAATGTATTGTGGGCAAGTGTGTTAAACTAATATAATGTCGATTGGAACTCCTGCCAAGATGCACAAAAGACAAACTTTATGGCCGAAGTGTTTTTCCATGAGGTGGCACTTTGTGCTGGAGGATGAAACATGACAGATTGTGATATCTGGTCTTTCTTGAAAAAAAAACAGCAGCTAATGGGGAACGCAGTTGATACAAAAATGAATAGATCATAGACATTTTTTTTAAGGAAAAGCATACACTCTTGCCAAACAAGCATCGTTTTAGTCATGATCACTTTTCTTAAACAAAACTGGGTCAACAGCAAATATACTGAATGACAAAAAAATAAGTTTGGAAATTAATGTTTGGCCCTTTCTCTGGACCTGTCAGTAAAAAAAGTTAGTTACCAATAATTGACAGACTAAAGAGGATGCCTCTTTTAACTAATAAGCCATATCATTTTTGAAGACCAGATTAAGAAAAAAAAATGCACATGTAAAGCAATATATTACAGACTTCTATACTTTAAAACTGTTTCTGACTTGTTGGAATGACTCAACTTTTGTTATGCACAAACCCTGAGCCTGCCCAGGGGCTAAGATACCACAGTTCAAAATGCAGTTTCCCGCCCAGTACACACTCCTTTGCTCTGCATTAGTTTTTGTGGAGCTCTTCAACGTGACAAATGAATGTCTTTGGGCTCTGACACAGATTTCTGTGTTCTTTAGAAGCCACAACTGTAAGGAAGCCAAAAAAGCACAACATCTGTTAACGTATCTGGTTTTAGTTTAAGAAACCTCACTCAGGATGTTTCTGTGAAAATAAAGCAAAAAACTAAGTTACTCTTACCTTCCAGATAATGATAATGTTGCAACAGACCAACAGCGGGGTGCGGCTAACTGCCTTCGGCTCTTTCTTCCCTCAGCATATCTGAGGACATTGCTGTAATTGCTGTGTGATTTACTCAAGGGTGTAAAAATACAGAAAAACTAGTTAAACACAGCAATGACAACTGCAAAGAATTATTCGTGGTCTGAGATCACTCTGAAAGAGTGCCGTTTTTTTGCAGTTGAAGCTGTGGAATATTTTGGTCTAACATGCATGAATTGATTATTCATTGTCAAGGCACATGAATAACTCTTCTAGATAATGGAAATATGCACGAACATCAATGTTCTAAAAGAAAAGTGCACTGTAATTTAATTGTTTGCACAAGTACATATTTTGGTGCATGGTGTGCATTCAAATGTTCATCTTCCTGTAATTTTCTATTTTCTATCTAGATCTTGTATGTTATTTTTTTGTAATTCTAAACTTTTTCTTAACCAAATATAGAAGCTGGATAAGTATTGCTCTTATATGGAAGTTTTAGTAGCGGCAGAGTTTGTGTTGATAGGGGACTTAGATTTAAGGGTTTTGGTGGTGAAATTTCACTTAGAGAATCCAATGTTTTCAGAACAGCAGCTACACCCCATCACTCTTATAATTCACCAAATGATTTAACAGCTGCCCATTGATCCACCTGGTAAACATTCATTGCTTTCAAACTGATTTTCCACTCTGCTCAGAGGTCTCTCTTTCTCTCTTTCTCTGATGCTTATGCACTGGAATGCAACTGTGTGTGTGGTGTGTGTGTCTGAATTGAATGTTAACAGGCGGGCGGGGGTTGGGGTAACTGATTGGAGTCTCAGCGAACGAGAGTAACGCAGAATGTGGTTGAAACTGAGAGAAGAATAGGACATGGTATAGACAGCGCGGTATTAAGACATAGAAATTAAGGATTGTTTGCTATTTCTCTCACCCATTAACCAGAGACGGTCATTGTTGCTCTCCCTTCCCACTGGCAGACTGTTGCTTTGACTGACAGCCCAACAAGCCGCCTCTGTAGGTCTGCCTCATGGTGGGCTGTTGAATTGGGGATGCAGCACACCACTGCTTTGTAAAAACAGCTTACCTCAACTCTTTTTGCTGCAAAAAGCTTTCACCTGCACCTCACTCAGCTCTCACTTTGGGAATTGCTTTTTTGTCTTAACAGCCCTGAAGCCAAAATAGGAAAAAGTGTATTTCTAAGCTTTTCTTATGATAAAGAATACAACAGATCTTTGCTCAAGTTTATGAATGTCAAATTACTGTAATGCTCATATGACATAAGAACGTGTTTCCTTTTCCATTTGTCTGTACTTATTATCTTGGGGTAGGTTGAGAACTACAAATATAAGATCTGTGGGAATAGCAGTGTCGAGTAAATCTAACTTCAGGCACCCCGCTAAGAAACCCACTTGATAAGTGTAGCCCCATCACCACCATGAGAGTTGCGATACACACCCACCAGCTAGACGGGCTGTGGAAAACGTGGGGCATGAGGAACAGCTCTCACAGGCGGAGGCCGTCTCATGGAATTCCAGAGCAGAAGCAGGAGGCACAGAGGAGGCTGCTGGGGTAACAATGGCCAGGGACATCTGTCATGCGTGGCTGCACTCCCCTTTGCTTACAATGGGTCCAGGGGACCAGCCAGTGGTGTCTT